GTTATGTAGAAATTATTAGACCTTATTTGCTTTGAACATTTTTTTTGTTTTCATTTTCATAAAAATTAGGAAACAATATCGAAAATATGTATGATTATATTTTTTTAAAAATTCTTTTAAAAATCAATTAAAATAAAGTTATTCAGTTTTCGAACAGAAAAAGAAAACGTGGTAGCATGTAGTATAATTTTATTGACATTTACTTTTTTCTTTCCTTTTCAAAATATGTTTCATTTTTTGTAGAAGAAATCATTTTACTTGTGTTTTTGCGTGTTCTCTTTGTACTTGGTCTATTTTTTTATATCTTTTTAATTTATATCATGCTGCTTATTTGCTTAGAACTTTTTTTTTGTTTGTAATTTTGTTTTCTCTTTATTTATTTTATATTAATAAATGTAGTGCATGAAACATCAAATCTCTTTTTTTTCTTGTTTTTGAGTCATGTTCCATAAATATTTCCTTTTTCCAATTTTAACTTATTCCAATATAAAGTAAAATTAATTGTTTGAGTAGATCAATTGTTTGATAAAAAGGTTAAAACAAAATTAAATCTAAAATATTTGCTACATACGGTTCTAAAACTAAAAGAATATAAAGTTAAATAAAAGATATGCCATTTTTAATAATATATGTATATTATAATCATTATCATAAATATTATAATATGAATATGAGATACGACCATCATTGTAATATTAATATTCTTTAATTATTTTTAATTATCTTTTTAAAGGTCAATTATTAAGAAAATATATTATTATTTATTTTAAAATTGTAAGTTTTATTAAAAAATTATAATTTTTTTAAAAAATAGTTAAACCAAATATGTTTTGAATATTTTCATTTTCTAAAATTAGATATTGAGAGTTTAAATTGTTTTCTAAATTTTAAATTTTGAAAATGAAAATTATTTTCTGAAAATAAAAATGGAAACTAAATTTTTTTTCTGATATCAAACAATCCTTTTTTTTTCTCTATCCAATGTTTAATTCATGGGTTGAATGCTAATAATTAAATTAACTCTAATTATAAATATGGGAGTTAAAAAAAGTTTTAATATAATTATAATGACACTTTATTTGATTTTTTAATTTTGGTTTCTATAAAAATATTGTATCAAAAGAATAATGCACTAATTATATTGAGATGAAAAATATGAGATAAAGGATGAAACATTGTATTAGAATTTACATAACCATATTTTTTAAATAGATGTTGTCATTATATGATCTTTAATATCATTTTCAACAAATCATGTGAATCTTAATATATATATCAAATCATCTTCATATTAAACATAATACATTTTCAAACATAGTCACAAATTTGGAGATGTCTTAATTACAAGCAGTTCACTTATCCATATTCACAACTAGAAAACAAACATTGCAATATACAATATTTTCATCAAGATAATAATAATTTATAATAATAATAATAAATATTTGGAAATGTCCTAATTATAGCATTTGCAATACACTACAAAAAAATAATTTAACTATTTATACACAATAATAATATATCAATTCTCTGGTGAAACATATCACCATCAAATATACAATTTGTACATATTATCGTTGTTATTCAATTGGTACTCTAATTTGCAACCAAATAAACACCAAGAATAAAAATATAGATTTTTCAAAAAATAACAAACACCAAAAAATACATTAACAACTAGCTAGTATTAGTCATTTTAATGGATTCGGAGAATAGGCATGGAAAGGGTGGGGAGGTGGCAAGGGACAATAGAGGTGAGGGAAGAGCAGTTGAAGTGTTGGCGAGGAAGACGGAATAGAATGGTTGTTGAGTATAGTGAGGAGGTCACAATGATGACAAAGAGGATGTCGACACAAGAGAAGAGACAATATTAGGACAGACAAGCTTAAGCATGATTTAAGTGTGGACCACGAGGTCAAAGGTAGAGAGAAAGGTTGATGTTAGTGGAAGACAATGAAAGAGAGGAGCATGGGCATGGCGTGTTACAATTGATATATTAGATCAATACTCAATGATAGTGGTGGCATCGTCAATTTGTTTGGCGAGTGCAAGAGAGGCTAGATTTTAAAAAGTGGAACCACTAAAAATGATGAAGGATTGAAGAAGTGAAGAAATACAACTCTCCTAAGGTATTCCCAACCCTTAGGTTAGCTCTATTGGAGAATATTTTCTCTGTCTCACAAGTCCAAGTGTCTACTAACTTTCACTCAATGACCATATTGGCTTTGTTGAGCTAGAAAACGTCTCTTTGTCTCTATTGCTCTAGGATTGTCTCACTTAGTGCTTGAGTCTCGCTTGACTAAAGAAACTTTATATGCTTCAATCTTGCTAAGCTAAAAAAGGCTTGTTCAATGAACCACTTGATCAGTGCTGGTGGTTATTGAATTCTCGCTTGGCAACCAAATTGGCTCGCTAAGCAAGCATACTTATGGCTCTTCATCATGCAACTCTTACTCAATGACTAGATTGTCTCGTTGAGCAAAAATCCAACTCCAATTCCTAATTTTTTAATTGATTCTTTAAGTGTTGAAGTTTTGCAACTTTCTTCATCTTCAACTTCTTTGTAAAAAGAGCTCCATTCGTGAGATTTAAGTCAAGATTCCTAAAAATTACATAAATTATAAACTTATACCAAAAAAGAGGTTGACAACACTATAAATAAGGAAAAAGAAAAATAATTGTTGCAATTTACACATTTGATATTAAGTAAATCACACAATTATCAATAATACCCAAAGTTTATTTTAAAATAAAATGTCGTTGTAATACATAGTAGTTCAACTTTTATATTATAAATAGGTTCTTTAAATTTTATTTTTATATACTCAGAATAAAATTTGCATTATAATTTTAAATAATCATTATAAAATTATTATATTTAACAGTTTGCGAAATTATTAGAGTTGGCATAACAGTAAAAATAATATTTATATTATAATTTTTAAAATAATTATTATAAAATTACCATATTCAACTATTATATTTAATAGTTTGTGAAATTACTGGAGTTGGAAGTTAAGATAGTATGATTGAGATATTAAATTTGGATTTGATTATGATTATTGTAAAAATAAAAAATAAAAAATACTTAACAGTTTGTGATTATAACTCAACTATTTATTTGTTGTCAGACTGATAAAGAAGAATTTGCAACAATTATTATAGTGAAAGGTTATTTTGAATTGAAGATTAATATATAATACCCACCAAAGTTAGGTAAAAGTACACTTAATTGTCTAAAGGTTACTTTTAATCCAAACATTTCAAGGCTTCAGCAAAAGAGAGACTAAAGGTCGTTTTCAATGTTGTAATCTATTCTTCCCCTTTTTGTAATTCACCTATATCCAATATCAAATTTGTACGGATCTTGTGATTTAACCTTCAAATATTCGCATCTTATGTATAATAACTATGTTAAAGATGTTCTATTGAGTTTTAAAGTTGGGTAATGTTGGCTTTCTCAAAGAAGATTGCGGTTTATTTTATTCTCTTTCATTTTATTTTGCCTGATCAGAAAACAAGGTATCAAATGCCAATAGGTTAAACCAAGCAACCAACCCTTTTACTCGAACTAATTCCATTCAAAGTGGTGTATTAATTTTTAATTGTTGTTTGGATTGAATTGCCTTGAAAATTTTGAGAGAACTTCAGTTTAGTTTGAATTTGGATTTGATAAAAATTGTAAACTACAATTAGGAATCAAATCTAACCAAGTTATCTAATAAATATTTTGCATGGGTGAGGATGTATAAAGTGAGAAAGTTGTTTTCAAAAAGAAAAGTCAGAAAGTTTAAATCTACTTGGAGTTAAAGTGGGCTATATATACAAAATACCTTAATATAAATCAATAATGGATAAACACTCAGTTATTTTTATTTTCACTTTACACAACTCTTCACTTTAAAGAGGATATATCTTAGCAATTACTTTGAGAAAATAAAACCCCCAATTTCAAACCTCCAAAGATACATGTATTTCTGCATTAGTCTTTCAACAGCAAAAAATATTAAATTAATCCTTCAAAGATTCATTTTGTTGTCACTTTCATCCTTTAGAGATTTTATCATTAAATTCAGGAGGGGAGTTAGAATTTTTTTTTTAAAAGGATATTTAAATTTAATTTAGAAATAATAAAATAATAGATTAAAAAAAATTAATAAATCTTAAAAATATTTTCGTTGAAAAAAAAAACAAAAACACACTTGTTGAAAAATGGTTCTAAAAATACTTTTGTTCAATAAAATTATTTTAATTACATAGAGAGATGATTATCTATAACTTGTTATTATTCTAAGTATGAAAATATGTTATAATTTATTCTTTAAATTTGTACTTTTTTAGTAGTATTAAATTACAACAACTTGACAATATATAATGTTATAATGACAATTTTATTTCTATCTCTATTTTACATTATGTTGTTGAACTCATTAAGTCTTTCTATTTTTCAAATTAAACAAATTTGATATTCGCGATGATTTTTTTATACTTAAAATCCTCAAATTATTATTTGTATCCATAAATTTTGAGGATTTATGATGGATTTGATATGTAAAATAATTTGAAAAGTTCAAATTTAATAAATTCAGTAGTAGGTTAATGAAAATTGAAGGATTTTATAAGATGTGAGATTTAGGTTTGAAAAGAGGAAATTTTGAGATCTTGGATGAAATGTGATATTTTGATTGACGAGTTTTAAGTAGAAAACAATTTAATCAATTCAAATTATAAAGATTTTGAATATGAAATGAAAATTAAGAGAATTTTAGGTAGAAAAGTTGTCGGAAAACTAAACTTGTTTAATTTTACAAGTAAAATTGCTTAACTAAAAAACTTGAACAAAAATTATACACAATCAAAACTAGAGGAGATTAAAAATAGTTACTTTTCTATAAATAAATAAAATAAAATAAAAAATTATATTCATGTTGCTCTCTTACTCTGCGACTGCTCTAACACAATATATGTAAAGATCCATTGGCATTGGCATAATCATTGGCTAGAGAATCTAAATGTAGCAGAAATTTCAATTCATCCATTGGTATTCTCATTGACATGGCACATAAGGCTATAATATATCATCTACGTGCATAGTTTAGTTTAATGAAAATGGTCCCTTCAAGTACAAACACACAATACTCCAACCGACGTGCATGCTATGGTTCACAAGTACATCACGAAATCTATAATGTGAACCTGAGCATAGTAGTTACAGACGAGCTTATTTACAACACGCTAACAAGCTTATTAAAACATGCCCTACATAATCTCCTAGATGTCTTCTTAAGCAGCTTTGGCGAAACCAACTCGGAGATTCTCATAATCAAAGACAGTGTGATATACCCTCATGAAAATATCGCCAAGAATCCTTCAAGCAGATAGTGACAGCAACATCAGAAAAATGAACACGAGATATAATTCATTTCATGCATGATTGTTCTGTACTATGCAAGTGTATGCATACATAATATAAAATGATCAACATTATAGGGGTAACATACCAGAGAGGACCCCGTGGAGGAGGAATATCAAAAGCAATAAAGCCACTAAGGCAAACTTCTGCAATGCCTTCTCCAGTTTTCAGAATATACTGAAAGTACAAAGCAGATCAGAACCAAAACAAAATAATAAAAAAATCAATAGTTAACCTTGGGATATAGTATTAATGTGTAATATTTCAATATGTCCACCAATTCAATTATGCGTCCACATCTTTTGGAAAGTTATTGCAATTAGATTTTCTTTGAACTATAATTCCATATTCCCAAAAGCCAAAATATTCACTACTTCCTGACCCCAATGTTATTTTGATGATTACCGTAAATTTGTGGAGTATAATCATCTACTTAAAACTGCATTTAATTTAATTTATCAAAATTTCAAAGCCAAACCTGCTCAGGGGTGAGGGTGAAAGGTTTGCCTCCAACAGTAAACGTGATGTTTGGCAATAGAGAAATGCTATTACAGTTTACTACTGACTCTCCATTTGGACTTGGCAAGCTCTCACACAGCTTCCAATGATCATGTGAGAAAAGAAAAATCAGCACACCATATAATGAATGTAACCAACAACTTGGATCTTTGGACAGCACGGTTCAAAAGGCCTACCTGGCTTACGTAGCTGAATACTCTCTCCTTTGTTTTCTTTTGTTTTAGCTGATTCTGAATCCAAACCACAAGCATCTGACAGGAAGTGCACAAAGCAGTATCTTTAGCTGACAACTCTCTCTGTTCCTTTTCAGTCACCATCTCAATACCATTGCTGCACAGTATTAGATTTTAAAGTAGATTTAGGAGTTTGTGTTCAGCCAAAATCTGATAGCATTATAAGCAAGAATAGAACCTAAACTCTCCAAGTGGCAAAAGAAAAAAATTTATAAACCAGTAATTGAAACCAATGAAGGGTATCAAGCCCTGAGAAATTGGTTGGTAATAGAGGTTTCTCGACAATTTTTTTTTTTTTGCAGAAAATTTCTGCAGATTATATACTTGATTATACTTAGAACTTGGCAATTAACCTCACAGACAGTTTTATCAATCATTCATCCAACATCTTCCAATCATTACCCAATTAAAGTGCACTGTATCAAATATGACCAAAAGGGCATACAAAACATTGATATATAAAAATGCTTAATACAAATTCAAAAAAACAATAAAATCCTAACCTCTCTGATTGAGCCCTTTTGGCGAAGCATAAACCAACTTGTGAGCATACATCATCTGGTCTTACCTACAAATCATGATCAAACTATTTAGGTCTGAGGACTGAAAACATATGAAGTAAAAAAGCAAAGACAGCAAATCAAGGTGAAAAGAAAACTTCAAGGTTGAGCAAAAGAACTTACCCCTGATACCAAGAGATCCCACAACAATTCTCCATAATCAGCAACAATTTCCTTACATTCTACACTTAGAACTCCTTCAGCTCCAATAGCGTGGTTGATTTCAGTTACAACAGTCTGAAATTAAAAGCATTCATAAAAAGTTTAAATGAAAAATTATAAACAATAAATCTTCAAAAAGATGTAAGCACGCACAGTAGGACCAGCAAGCAAAGATGTTCCTGAATCCACAATAGCAGCACAGCCACCCTCACAAACACCTAAAAATAACATTGATATATACCACAATTAGATACACTTCATAATCAAATATTATTGGCTACAAAAAAAATGTAAAGATACGTTGTGTAGACAGATCACATTTCCTTTAATTTTAAATATACTACAGGATGAGAGGCGGAAAAATACACATCAAGTTAGCTCCTTATACCATATTCTAAATCCTTTCAAACACTCACTTATTTCCAAATAACTCCCCAAAAGACAACTGAAATTATCTTAGCATTGAAGAACTATGAGGTCACCTGTTGAGAGACCTCCAATGAAAAAATCTCCCATTTCAATCTGAAAAAGAAAATATTCATGTGAGCTTTTCCATGATAAAATAGAATTTTAAAGAGAAATCCTGATCAAACTAAATTTTGTTTTGCTAACCTGCCAGTAACCTTTTTTAGTAACTGGAACATAAGTATGATTTCCTTTAAAGTGTTTTGGATCAACACCTCCAAAAACTAGTTCACCACCCTCCTTTGCATTTGGATCCCCGTTGAGCCAAAAAGAGAACACCTGCTCACTTACAAGATTTTGCCGCACGATATTGTACCTGTAATTCATAATGGATCAGTAAATTAAATGACATAAAAGAATAACGATTCATCCTTATAACATGGAAATCAAAAGAAAATGAGTTAACAAATAACAGGATGAAACACACCATAATGGCACAGCATTTTCAACCGAGATCTCCTGAAACCCAAGCCCAAGTAATCCATCAAATTTTGCTAACACAAAGGAAAGACTTCCTTCTCGGGTAGCCTCAATGAAATCCTACAGTTAAAAAGGATAATATAATGGTGAATTCTCTGAAGTATTGCTGCAAAACTGTACAGTCTAAATGTGGGAGCTCATAAATAAAATAGCACTCACCTGATTCTTGACAACAATATCACCAACTTTAACATTATCATTGCTGAAAAAACCAGATATTGATCCAGATCCGTATGTTATTTTACATGATGTTCCTGATTGACAAATAGAAAAGAGTATATAGACATAATATTAAATGGCATCCACATAGCATACAGTATCATGTAAATTACGGGATGCATGATTGGTTCTACTACTATAATGAATATGTATAATGAGAAGCAGACATTACCATTTTTGGTATATGTTTTGGATTTCTTTGACTTGTACCACCGATGGGTGTAGCAAGCAAGCTGTAAGAGAACATTAATCAATAGAACTCATTGATATTTGATAATACATATTTGTGAAGATTGAAGACACCAGAGTTGAGTTAAACTCACAGAAAAATAGCACTTTGATGATGGAACCCAAAGGTTGGAACTACCAGTATCAAATATGACACCAAATTTCTGTGGGGGTGTGCCAATGCCAATCTCTCCATAATATTGTGCATCCAAATAATTCTTCAGAGGTACTATGCCCTCATCGGTTGGTTTGCCAACATACTGATCGTATGCACCCAACACAGGTCTGCCTAATCTTAGCTTTTCTCTTACCATTCTAGCTGCTCTGATACTATCAAGATCTAGATCTCTCTTCTTCAAACCAATTCTCATAAGTCCGAAGGAGAAAGAAGGAAGAAGTGAGCATGTCAAAGCCCACAAACAAAAAGCCAACCATAAATACTTTTGCCCCATCGTCTGGGAGAATCTGCCATACAGGGTAATATGATAGTAAGAAGGTAGCAACTAGCAACATAATCACGAAATGAACAGTTAACACACCCAGTCCTTATAGCCTAATTTCCACATTAACTAAAACACAGAAATATCAGATAAATCAAAAGAGAATATTATAAAAAATACTGGGAAAATGGCACTCACCTCCCCAGTGATCTGTTTAAATGACACTCACTTCCCATCTAGTTTTCAAAAATTACTTACCTCCCTTAAAATAATGTCATTAGTTAAAGTGAGAAAAGGAGAAAAAATAAAAGTCATCATATTCTGTCAATCATATACACATTTAATCTTTGTTTTTGAATTACGTATAGTAAAATGTCTTCTCTATGAAAATTTTCATTATTTTTCAATTTTAAAAATAATTATTTCTTAGCAAATTCTTTGAAATTGTTTTTTAAAATCGATATGTTTTTTAAATCAAAGCATGCATAGTATTTAGGATATAGTTTAAGAGTTAAAATTGAGTAAGAGATCTCATTCAATTATTAACACTTATATTAATAATTTATTCGCTCTTAACGGCGCACAAATCGTATTATCCTATATAAAGAGGTTGTTGTGCCACTTAGATAAATAAATAAGGAAGTTTAGTGTTCACTTAAAACTTAAAAGGGAGGTGGTTGTCTTTTAACTCACAAGATGGCAGTGCAAATTTTCTAAAAATATTCTCCGTGGATATTCAATTATTCCTGTCAAGGTGTTCAACAAACAAGAAAATTATTACGTCGTAGTAATGCTCTCGCCTCCTAGCTAGTCTCTTCTAAGAGTAGTTATTTTTTAGTAAGAATATTTAAAACGGGGGGAAAAGTTCATTCAGCAACAATACAACTTTTTCAGATTTGGTCAAAGTAAGATCTTCATCCACAAACTTCATAACAAATGGTATGGTTTATTATTATCACACACCCAATATCTCTCTTCCATCTTACTTCCACCTTATTTTTCTTTCATCTCTCTCTTCATTTCCCAACACACCATTTCTCACCATCAATTTCTCTCCTTTTATTTTCTCTCTCTCTATCTCTCATTGTATTTGGTTTCACGTTTCCCGGGTTTAAATCGCATAAATAACACGAAAATAAAACGTTATAAATTTTTACTTCCGCGTCAAATCGGTTAAAACGTGGATCTGTTAAGTGAATCCAGACATGCACTCTCTCTCCCTTCCACCCGAATCACTTCTTATAAGTGCAATCTTAAGTGAGTAACACTGCAGGTCAACTTCTTATACGCTATTGTCTTCTCCATCTTATCTGTTTTTAATGATTATTTTCAGTTGATTTATCTATTTCTAAATTCGTTCAACCCATAAATAAAAAAGATAATGGACAACCAAAAAACGGAACTTTTTTTTTCCCATGGCAATATCTCACAGATTCCCCCAAATTCATATGGGGAATATTTTATGCATCAAAAGAAAAAGAAGGGCTAAAAGTGAGAGGAAACATGTTTCTGCAGATAACATGAAGACAGATCAAAGCCAGAGGAAATCTTAGGTTAAGATATAACCAGAGAGAAGTCAACTGGGCTGAACTCAACCTGATAATCATCATATCATATCATAAACATGGAAAAGAAAACAATAAAAATCAAAATAAAACATGTACCATAGCAAAATTAGGATAAGTCAAATCTAGTGGAAATTAGAAGACATGAAAGGGAATCAAGTGAATTGAACTCACTAGGATTATTATATTTAACACCAAAATTTTGAGGATTTTGGAATATGAAATAAAAGATTAAAGATTAGAAAAATCAAACCTTTAGCTAGTGCAGATGCAGCTGCGGCTAGTAGCTAGTAGCGTAGTACTAAGGTGAAACGGAGGGAGTGCAGAGAAGAGAGGACAAGTACCCACGAAGATAGGAAGGTCGTCTAGGAACAGTGTGTTCGTTAACGTTTTAGGCTCATTTAGTGGAGACTTGGATTGTTGGCAACTACATAAATTTATACACAACTGAATATGTGTCAATTAATTAATTGGTATAATTGTATAAAAATATCTGTGTTGACAACAACGAGGACGTTCTTTATCCTATTATTTTATTCTTTCTTCATCCACGCCCTTCTCATGCTCACGCAATGCAATGTACTTTTGTTTATTTAGGATTATCAGGAGCATAACACTATGTTTGATTGCTTGTTTCTTTTGAGTGTAAATGAAGAGAAAGAAGGAAAAAACAAAAATGAAATACATTTTATTTGAGAAGATAAATGGGAAATCTGCAAGTATTTTTTCTCCTTTTTTTAAACTAAATAGAATGAAATTTCTTTCCTCTCTTCTCACTTTTTCTTCTCTTAAATCAAACTAATTTTGAGTTATTTATTTCTCTCAATTTCATTCCTTTTATTCAAAAATACAATCAAAATTCTCTTTAGAAAATATTAAATGATTAAAATGCAAAAGTTTGAAATTGTGAATGAAAATATCCAACCTGAGACCTAGTTGGACTTGGGTGTTTGAAGTGAATTTATTATAGAGATTGTTTTAATAATTATAGATACAATTCATTAATATACAAATTAATTATATGAATTAAATTTTATGTCGGATGTAATAAGTAAAAAAGTGATCGTAAGATAAATTATCTTGACTAGATTATTTAAAGTATTTAATTTTATAGTACATTTACATACAAAAAAATATATAAAATTATTCATAATAATTAGTTTTATATTTAAATTAATGAGTTATTCAAGATAAAATGAGAAGAAAAATATTAACGTGTAACACCATTTGTATACAACTCAGAATTTTTAATAGTACATCAAAGTAATTTTTGAAACAAATAATCACAATCATATTTCTAGAAAGTATTTTTCAAAAAGGTGTATCCATTGTTATGAAAATTATATTTCGGAAGTATGCTTAAAGCACTTTTGAAAATTAATTTTTGAAGCTGTATTATAAAACAAACTACCAAAAAATATTTTTCAAAATATTATATATATTATTCAAGAAAACATTTATCAAAAACTTATTTTTTAGAACATTCTATTAAAAAATACTTTTTAAAAGTATTTTTTAAAATATATTATTTAGCGAGTTCCTTCTAATTTAGTGATTTTCATAAAATATATATATTAACGAGGAGTGTGGGTGTGGGTCACATTTTTTCTTTTCATGTATCCTGTTTCCGCCTAGACACCAAATAGCGAGAGAATAGCAACTAGTATCGAAGTTGCAAGTATATTCTTATTCTTATTGGGCTCACGTGTGGGCTGTTGTTACAATAACTCCGGCCCAAGGCAGACTGATAAAGAGAGGCGCTTTCTTCCTTGTTGAGGCGCCACAGCAGCGTAACCCTGACAAGCTTCTCTAGCACCGTTCTCTTTCTGTTTCGAGGTAATTTTTTCATCAGTCTCAAACGGACTCTTCTATTCAACTTCACCTTCGCCATTGAAGAACTCCCCCTGTGACCGCTACTTTCTTTCCTTTCTCTCTCTGGTTTGTTCGTAATGACCTTGCTTTTTAAAGTGCATAACATTGTATAACAAACTTGTCTTGTATATTGTGTGGCCAATTTTTTTTATAGTTTATTACAAAATTAAAAATTATCATAGGCAAAGTTCTATTTAAAGAAAATCAAACAAGTAGTTTCCACAACTTGCACTATCAGCAGCGTCAAGAGAGATTTTGTCCCTTGCATATACTTGATTCCATCCAAACTAGACGATTAGGTGTTAACTTTATAGTTTTCTGCACTTACAACGATTCTTTCTTTATTCTATTTGATTTCCATTTTACATCAACCACTTTTAAGTTTATAATTGCCATTTCTCATGTGCATTCTAACTGTTTGAGTAAAATCCGCTATATCTCAGGGTCTTCTTTGTTTGTTTGCTTGCTTGCATTATAATGACAGGCACACTGACGCAAAGTGAGTCTGTCATATGCTTACTGTTATATCAAAGTTAGAGCCGTTCTAGTGCACATCTTTCCTATGCACAGTCTGTTGAGGCATTAACTGTTAACTACTGGGGATATTTGTGTCAGGTAATTAACACGATGTCGTTGAGGCGTTTCTTAGGCTATTCTGATGGTGAGGTCATGAGGTCTGATGCAAAACCTTGTTCTAGGCTAATGAGGCATACAGCTGGAATTTTTAGTGTTGGTGGAGCACTAGCATTTTGGGTCCTGTGCCGAATGCACTATGGTTTGTTCTTCCTTTTGCCCTTTCTTCCTCTCACTGAACTTAGCTTGTGAATTGCTGATAACACTGTTTTCCTGTGGATGATGATTAAAGTACACCCAGTATTTCTTGACATTTTTAACTTGTATTTTTTTCTGAATTGCCAAATCAACTAGTTGGGACCAGAGGAAAATGTTGACAAAAAAGAATATATATTTCTGATTGATTAAGCCGCACAAAGGATACATGAATATATAGTGTTCTTTACAAGCCAAAGAGAATTGATTGCCTACCTTGTGGCCTCACAGTAGTAGGTTGCTCCTTCAGTGGTGGTCTTCTATGCTCTGCAATGGTTGGGATGTCACTTAGAAAGACTTAGACACTCAAAGTTAGTAAAGTTCAAAGTCAAGAGATGAGGGATAGAGAGATAGCATATGTTAAGAATCTCTTACAAGAATGGAATCATTCCTAGCAGCGTACCTTGAGGCGGATAGGTTTAGGGTTTTTATAACCTTTTTATTATCTTTAGTCACCAACCTGGACAATTCATTTGGTCCTTATTGGGTCGTGCCCTAGTCAGAATGTATATAGATACAAGGAAAAGCCAAATATAAGGAAAGAATAGAGCTAAATCTAAAGATATTATCCTAACTACAAAATGTACTGTAAATTTCCTAATAATAGGCTATCTACATAAATACAAAACAAACTAAATATAAATAGGAACTAAATAAACTTAATCAAATCTGCATCATATCTCCTATGATATTCTGTAATTTATGTGATATCTCAACACAACTGTGAGTCAACATGACTTTTGCAGCTTTCTAGTCAGGCCTTTAGGATTATAAAGTCTACTTTGAATGTTATTTCACTGCAACTGAAACGAGTAAGTTGCCGTTGCTCTTTTCTTCCACCTAATTTCCAGGTGATAGACTCCTTAGCTTCTTCAACTAGTCAAACTTGTTGTCCTTTTTCATTCAGTGTAACTGAGTGGCCAAATTAAGGTTGGTCGGGGGGAGGGGAGGGAATGACTATCATTTAACATGTATCCTTATCCGCTACGGTTACTCTTGGATGTTTGTTAAGTATCGAAGTCTTCAAAAAAGTTATGAAAATCCAATATAGCTACATATGAAACATACAAACATGTATAATGTAGTAACATAGGAGCATTGTCCCTTGATGAAACAAAAATGAAAATTGTTTTCTTTATAGATGATTTCAAGAAATGAATGAGATTCATACTATTCTTGTTATGCTAACATTGATCCATAATTTTTATTTTGTTTTTAGCAATGTCCAATTAGTATGTTCTTAATTTGAATTTGCATATTGCAATTATATATTTTATGATTTTTTTATACACTTTATATGTATCTTATTCATATCTAACATATTTTTATAGTAATTGAATCGCTGTAAGTGCATCATAGTTTAAAACAAAGCCTTAATACCTGTTTCGCATACGATGGGGTTTCATTCTTGAAATGATTTTGAGGTTTTAAATACTATTTACTTCTCCCCCTTTCTTTCCCTTGAAATCCTATATTTGCTATATGCCAAAAATTATATGACATTGTAATTCATCCTGTTTTACTCTCTCTCTCTCTCTCTCTTAATCTTTGTTGGTCATGCAGGTCCTCGAATTACAATTCCCAGGAGTCTTCGATGGGCAACATGTGGAGCTGTTACTGTAAGCTCAAGTACGGCTTTGCTGGTTCGTTTGTTTAGTCCTGAATGTGAGCCCCAGAATATCGCTGCTTATGACAATAAAAAGTAACATTGATATTATTACCCCTTTCCTTTTTCCCTACTTGTTAATATAAAAAGGGGGAAATGATTAGTTTATGATGTGGTGTTATAATAACCTTTTGTACCCGGGGAAATGAACTTGCGTGATTGAAATCTCATCACTCTAATAACATTATGATACACTTGCAAAGAATAGTGGGATGTTATAATGATCTCATCACACTGAGCTTGGTTTCAGATATTCTGCATATGTAAGTTTTATGGTATGGATATCATTTAGTGGCATCACAAAGGGGAAAATAGGCTGTTTACTCCCACTATTCTTAGCTATTAGAAAGGGTAAAAATTGTATTTCAATTTTCTGTTTTCTCCCTGAAAAATTTCCTCCAACAATTTTTATTCCAAATTAGTCGTTAAACTTACTTAATTCACCTATGGTTACTCGCGTCCAGAACATCACTGAATAATTTCAACCGGTTCTTGTGTGGCAATAATGATGATAACTACATCTTAAATGGTAATTATCCTTAAACATGGTTTTGTTCCATTGGATAAAGGTTTTGTTTGGGGTGAGTTTGTGAAATGGGTTTAAGGCTAGTGGTGGATTCAGGTTTGCGATGAGTTGTGTATTATACATTAGCATACCAAGAGGAGAGGACAAAGGTCCACCGAAAGACAGAAGCAGGCAATTGGTTCGAATACTTCACGCTAAATGTTAATCATTCCATATCGACTAACGAAAACTGATCATGAAAAATATCAGAAAAGAAGACAAACTCCTCGTTATGTGCCAAATAGTTAGGTAGATGACAAAATTAACAAAACTTGCGTTCACATGAAATCAATGGACTCGTATTCCATCAGCGCACGTAGATTTGTATGCAACCTTGAAGGGAAATAGCAATACGTATTATAACAATAAATGGTTTTTTTTTTAATTCTACCAATGTCGAAGAGGAATTTGTATCTTATATAATATAAAGTTAATGAATATGACAGTAAGTGCAAAAAGAAGCTGACAAACATAGAAATTAACATGGTGTCGTTGGTTTCCATATATCTGGATAAAAGTAATAATAGTTCAACTTCAACTTCATTAAAGCATATATTAAATTTATTCTTATATATAAAACTGAGTCTTCATTCGTAACTAAGATTATTTATATATGTATTTTGTACATTATTACATGTTTTCTCTCTTATGTTACTTATTTTAATTCTTCATGATTTTTTTATTAAAAAATTACTTTATTAATTTCTTTAATTTAACATTTTAGAGTTTTTAAGATAAAAAGTCTCAAATGCTTATATTTTCATTACCAGAAAAACATAGATAACAAAATAATTGGTTGCTGCCTTTGGCACACACTTGATTCAATCGACGGCACTGTGTTTGCCACCTGATCTACTAAGTGTATTATCCAACAACAAAGACTTTATTTTTTCTGTTGTTTTTGTTTTTGATAAGTTTAAGTGTATATTTTCCAAAAATATCTAAATGTTCTTGTTCATAAGTATATCTAATAATCCAAGATGGGTAACTTTGTTTCCAAATATGACGAATAAATGATTGAAGTGGTTCATTAAAATGCATAACATAACACAAAATGCATCAAAAACAAACCGACGATTCCCATTGTCTTTTGTCATTTACAAAGGCATTGACCATAGTTTTCAATAACAAGTGGGGAGTTTTGGTTAATTATATATTAGCAAATGGTTATAATCTAACCAGTTTTGAAGTGGTCTGATTAATGAGGTGAATAAAAGGGAATAGGCTTGGTCATCGTAAACAACGGTTTGGTTGATTTGAGCAATGTATTTACACGAAACATAATAATTTAGTTAAGCCAAGTAGTAATGAAATAATTAGACAGAAAACAGAATCAAGAAAAGGTTTATTGGCAGGAAATGGACGATTATACAGATTCGAATTCATCCTGGGCAGATGAAAAGCAAAAACGAGAAAAGTTACAGCATTTGGCAAAGTTTGTTACGCTATAGTAGTTTGGTAGTGGGGTGTGTGATAGGATAGCAAATTGGATTGCAATGATACCTGCACTGTACTCAACAACTGCACTATATTATATTATATGATATTATAAACACAAAACAGTAGTAGCATCCATAAAAGAGTGACTTTATGGTGGTTGGTTCTTCCCCAATTTTATATTCCTAATTTCCCATCCCATGTCACTGGGGGGTCCAAGTGGGAATGAAACATAATATATCACCACTCAACTCACCCTTTCGCCTCACTCTCCAATGGCCTCCAACAAAGAACACCAAAACGGAGACACCCACCTCTCCAAGAAGCCAAAACTCTCCTTCATCACGGACGCCGAGATCCAGTCCGAATTCTCCCACCACGACCCCGCCGTGGCGCGCCTCAACAACGGGGCCTTCGGGTGCTGCCCGGCCTCGGTGCTCGGGGCGC